CCCCCCCCATTTTTCGGATGAAAATTTGCCCATTGCCCCTTTTTCCTATCAAAATGTTCCCGATCCCCCCTAATTTTCACCTGTCCCCCCTCTGCCATACATGCATTATAAATGCAGCCTAACATGGCTGACTGTCTGACATGAATGACTGTAATGAATGACTACTGTAATGAACGGACATGAAATGATTAACTGTTTAATTGACCGACTGACATGACTGACTGAAATACTGACTGACTGAAATACTGACTGACTGAAATACTGACTGAATGAAATACTGACTGAATGAAATACCGACTGACTGAGATACTGACTGACTGAAATACTGACTGACTGAGATACTGACTGACTGAAATACTGACTGACTGAAATACTGACTGACTGAAATACTGACTGAATGAAATACTGACTGAATGAGATACTGACTGACTGAAATACTGACTGACTGAAATACTGACTGACTGAGATACTGACTGACTGAAATACTGACTGACTGAAATACTGACTGACTGAGATACTGACTGACTGAAATACTGTCTAATATGACTACTGAATTGACTGACTGTAATAATATTTTATTACGAATTTATGTATTAATTTTTGTGTTTGTATTATGTCAATAATACCTTTTCTTAGTTCAAGGCTATTGAGTCAGGTGTACCTCAAGGGTCTCTTTTAGGCCCCTTATTGTTTCTGATATATATTAATGATCTTCCCAACTGCTTAGAATGCACCACCCCTGGTATGTATGCCGACGACACGCATATTACTGCTACTGCAAATAATACGAGTGAGTTAGAGGATCTTTAAGGTATTGATGCTGAAAATCTAAGCTTGTGGCTTTACAGGCAGCCCAAACAAGGTTCCTGTGTATGGTTTATAAGGGAATGTATGGGAGTTATGATAAAGTTACGAAAATAAAATGTTTCACTCAACAATTTGCCTCAAAACTTGCTACAGTTGTTGCTTTTTCCTTGTTCAGTCTTCTGGAGAAGTTTCAGCGCGATTTGAGGCCGTTTAGTGGGTTTTTTCAAAATCTGCTCTTCTCTACCTAAATAGGTATTTTGGCAAATTGTTGAGTGAAACATTTTATTTTCGTAACTTTATCATAACTCCCATACATTTCCTTATAAACCATACACAGGAACCTTGTTTGGGCTGCCTGTGGTGGCTTAAGGCTATTGAAATACATGTGAAAATCACGCTTCCCCGGCGAATCAACGCAGGACTAAGGATTTTCGTAAAGATTGCCATGAAATTTACCCCGAGAACTAAGAAATTATTGCTCATGCCGTTATTTTGAAAGTTCAGCGTGGTTTGACAAATTTAAGCTCCATTAGAAAGGTTTTGGTATATGACCAAAAAAACGCGATCTTTGGTGATTGCGTGACCGATTGATAACATGATTGATGGACTTCCATAGGCACGTGCTCTTGAAAACTTTGTATTTTTCAAAATGTGATGGAAACACTTTGATTKACGTCCACTAAAACCTGACTTTGTCAAGACAGAAAATTGTATTATTTCGTGCGTGTGATTTAAAGGAAGCACTGAACGATGTGTACTATAAGAGGCAAAAACATTTGTGGTTATAAATTTATACCCCACGTTACGCCACAGAATAGAATATGTAATGTAATGTCTGGAACTTATTTACTTTCTCTGGAGACCACCTTTAATAGTGTAATAGAGTAAATGAGAAATTCTGCTCCGAATACACGTGGCCCGTCATTAGAACATCGCTTTGATCAAGGGTGTGACATAGACGTACAATAGGGCACAGCTTGGCTGTGGCCCAACGTTTCATTTGAGTGTGATAGTTTAAACAAACAATTCCCGAACACTTGAAAGATTATAGCTAATTATCACGTTTAATGGAATATTATCTATTTTATGTACAGCTTCTAATCGATAAACATAAATGGAAACAAAATGGTTTTCCTGATAATCCTTTCATTATGCTTCGCTGAATCAGTAATGTCATTCTCCGCCCCCAAGTAAGTAAGCTTGATTTACATTTTCTGTAGACTTCAAGCCAGCTCCTTTTATTATGTAGAATAGCGTCAGCAGAACTTGACGGTGGCAGCAGATACATGATTGACTCGTGCGAAATGTCCTGGAGATCATTTCTATGTAACCACATGACATTCTGTGTAGAATAAGTAAAGTCTTGAATATCACGGATAGTCTTGCATTAGTCTGTCTTCTGACACTCGAAGGATTAGCAAAGAAAACTCCTGCCGAGTTAAACCTTCTTGGAGCAAGATCGATCGTAAGTAATGACCTATTATTGAATGTCCTTTTTTTAATCAAATAGCTGCTGATTGATAAGATTACAATCAGTTGCAGTGAATTCTAGCTCATGATGTGCTCGTAATAGGGCTCGTCATTAAAAACTGAGATTTCAAATTAAAAGTTTATCAACACTGATCAGCTTTAGATGTTCTGACAGCCTAATTCCCTATCACACAAATCCAGTTTCATCTTTTGAATAAGACACATATTCAATGATGTGCACGAAAGAAAGGTTTAGGTAAATGGTTTTCGGGTTACTCCCGCTGAAGTTACGGTTATTCAAGAAGTTAACTTGAGCGTGTTTATTCTTGCGTCTCTCAAATATAGTGACAACCTTCTAGTTAGTCCTCATGCATGACCTAGCGTGCTCATTTTAACGCTGGGAATACATCGGAATGCATACAAGTGATTGACATAAGGGACTAAACTAAGTCGGGCTCTAAGCAATAACGCAGAAATGAAGAAACCTAATTCGACTGCATCTATCTTTATTGGTCAGTCATGCTAACGTAATTAGCGCAGTGATTATGAAAATATCCATATTAGAACTAATTCCCTAATTCTTTATTTTATTGTAGATTCATGGCTGGTCAATTCATTCTGGTTAGCCTGTGCTTCTTGCTTGTTTGTCTTTACGTTAAAGGTTAGTTCATATCCATAGTAGAGGAACTACGTGACTGACAAACAGGCGGGAGGTCGTGGTTCAAGCTTCGGCCGGACCAACACTCAGGGTCTTAAAATAACTGAGGAGAAGGTGCTGCCTTTGTAATTATATCTGCAGTCTTCTCGAACTTAAAACCGTAGGCCCCGTCTGTCTTCACTATATAACCCTGTATAAGGCGGACGTAAAAGATCCACTGAAGACGCTGGTGACAACCATCTTCAGTGCCCGTGCTAAACAGGGCCCACTGTAATTTGCTATGCTGTTGTGGTGTCCCTGCCCTCATGGGAAAAAAATATCATAAATCATAATTGAAGTTATTTTGAATCGCTAGATCTGAATAAATAAAATAATTAAATTTATCTCATGCGATTTTAGTCAATTTTGGAGGCAAAGTCTTGTAACTGAAAATAGAATCCACAATGATTGAGTCACGAATGAAAGTGAAAAACAAAGTAAAAACACCACATTTTGATAACCGGAATCCTTATCAGCGAATCCGCATGGTACTGTGGTGAACAGCTTGCGGATCAGCTGGCGGGTTCAATCAGAACAAAAACCATTTAGAATGGATAGTTGTTTTGATTTTACAATGGGTTATTTTTTAGGTCACTCGTATTCCTGCTCATTTGATGGTGGGCAATGTGGTTATTCTAATGATAATTCTGGGTCAGATGATCTGGATTGGAGTCGAATGCGTAACAGAGCTGAGCGTAATTTTGGAGGCTTTTGGCGAATTGCCAATAATCGCGGCCCAAGAAGAGATCACACGACTGGCTCTGGTGAGAAAATGATTGCTAAGGACCGATTCAGGGGGAATAAGTTATATATTGACGGACAGGTATCAAGGGAGGGGGGTGGGGATAATGATAAATGTGAGAGAAGCAACCATTATTAATGAGCGGGCGACAATGATGTCTTTCATTTATATATTTCTTGTAAGGAAATATATAATCCATTTCCTGAATCCAAGATCGAGCGTCGATCCTGTTGTTCAAACTTATTGACTGAGATAATTGAGGTATCACCCTCTTCTATAATTGATGAGTTTAACGTAAACAACGAACGCCAGAAGAATAAGCGAGTGAGCGCGAAGGCACAAAGATTGAATCCAAACTATATCATATATTTTTTAATAAAGGATATTACATGTACACTAAGACCAGTGGAATATTTGGAGGAACTGCTGGAGATATTGCACGCCTTGTCAGTCCAGTTTTCACAAATGTCTCTTGTCTAAAGTTCTACTATTTCATGTACGGCATGGATATTGGGGGCTTAGAAGTTATCACGAAAATAGGAAACAATGCGCCTACTAAAGTGTGGTTACTGGATGGAAACCAAGGCAACATGTGGAAATTTGCTATGATCCCTATCCAATCCAACGCCAGCGAAAACGTTAAGGTTAGATACACAACTAGAACTGAGCCTAATACTTGATTGTCATAATTGCTTAGCTTCCGCAATAGTCCGGGTAGTCTTATATGTTGTAGATAAAGAATGTAGTGTKAGTGCGTGTGGAGGGAAACTCACGGAAGAGCCCCGCATGTGGTCGTGGTGTCTGTAAATATATAGATTAGACTAGGACTGAATAGAAAATATGGATTAATGAATGATTATAGATAATAAAGGAAGGTAATGTTGTGAAAAATATCATCGAAATTTAATGTTACTTTCCAATTCTTTGTTGTTGTTGTTATCCAGATATTCTTTCAAGGTGTCGTCGGATCTTCAAGAAGATCTAGTGTTGGTATTGATGACGTGAATGTAACGTCAGATAACTGTACTCTGTTTCCAAAACAAGCAGCTCCCACAGACAGCATTGCACCAGGTAAAACATCTTTTTAAGGCGACTCGACCAAGTTTTCAGAGTGTGCGAGATTCTCATTTGAAACCCTAACTCCCGTTCCATACATGCTCGTTTGGTTGAAAGCAGCGGAGTCTTCCTAGCATCGAAATCGTGACGTCCTTGATTAAGTATAAATGAAATTACTAAATTTGCGCGTTTGATTCAAACTTGTTACTTTTACGCTACTGTATTGCCACTCGGGGTTCCTGTGGAACAGCCCGAGTCACAAAACTAGCCTTTTTTTTCCTTCGCTAAAAAGACATTGTCTGYACTGCACATGCTCAGTATCCCGCTGTCCAATTATATTGAAGGCTTATGTTCCCGAGAGTTATTCATAAATAAAGAGCATGCTCAAGAAATTCGCTGTATTGAGTGAACGTAGGCTCGTGCAAATGGTTTATAAACAGACTGCATTAAATCGTAACCGAATTGTCTTCTATTACTGTTGCATATATGCATCCCACATGGAAAGGAGTGAGTATACTTTCAAAGCCATCAGCGTCACAGTCAAAATTTTGAGTTTGTTGGTCATAGCAACGGGTTAATAATCTACGGTTTAGGGGTCGACTAAGCTCTCCCTTAGGCTTCGGCCGAGCTTCCTGATCAGTCTGTCATTCTTCGGATAAGCCGTAAATGATTTGCGCTGCCATACAACGGTTCAGCACTCGATGTATGGAAGTATGGTTTTTTTAAAATAAATCAAAAGGTAAAAATCTTATAAAATTCATGTTGCCATGGCAGATGAACTGTAATAGAGATTGATTCAGGGCCGTAACCAGAACTCCTAGCAGATATATATATATTTTTCATTCTGAGTTAAAATCAACAAATCAAAAATCAACTCCTAAATTCCAATTCGATCATGGAATGAGGGCCACAGGTTTGTTAGCCATTGGCTATTTAAGTGCTACCCTCGTAAAAAAAAAAAAAAAGTTAAATAGTTCTATTTTTACACAAAATCGGCGTCATCGAATTTCTTTAAACTTACGCATATTATGAGTAAACATTTGGTATACAAAGTCTCAGTAATAAATCGTTTTCAAAGTTCAGGTCTTGATTTCGAGATAATTGGTGAAATGAAAAAGGAAGGACATCACAATTTCAATGCTAAGAAAACTCATCAAATTAATCGAGCGTCAGTGTAATGTTTGGTTTATGTGTTATCTGTAATAATAAATCTAAATCTAAAAAATAATAATAGTAAATCTCAATCTCTGAAAACTGGGTCGGGCTGCCTTAATGCAATACATTTTGTAATTTCTATAGTTCGCGGTAGCTGTAATTTTGATGTTAACATGTGTGGCTATCGTAACCTTGGGAACCACAGTTGGACGATAAAAAAAGGCTCAACATCATCTGTTAGAACTGGTCCAAAAAGAGACCATACCACTGGACTTGGTAAGTATATCAATCTGCGAAAGTCCGCCTATTTAACAATTCAGATGGCTGAATTCATAATATCATTCCATTTATTAGGCTCGTATATGTATACAGAAGCTTCTGGTGTCAAAACAGGAGCCGCGGCCCTCTTCGTTAGTCCCCTCGTCTACAATATATCGTGTGTTACATTTTATTATCACATGTTCGGCTCCCAAATTGGAACCTTTAACGTATATCAACTAGTTGAAGGAAACTACACAAGGCTTTTTCAACTGAAAGGCAATCAAGGCAATAGATGGTATAGAGCAGAACTACATCTTCGTCAGTATGTTGGCCGCAATTCTAATTTTAGTGTAAGTAGCTGTTTTCGTATCATATATACACCTACTTGCAAGAACGTTGTCATACGAAAATAGAACATTAGTGATTTAGTGGRATAGGAATTATATTAAAAAACAAAAGAAGATCACTGAAGCTGAACTTTTTCTTTTGTCTTTTAATGTATTTCTTTCTCATTAAATTACTAATGTTCTAATATTGTATGACAACGTTCTTGCAAGTAGGTGTATGTACTACCAAGAGAATATGAACTAAGAGAAGGAATCATACCTATATAGGCTTGTAACCATCATATGCACAGTTTGATGCTATTTTTAGCTTCGAGATATTTTGAGCGAAGAACCTGATTGGTTCATTTCTTGAGGGTAGGCGGCTTCCAGTCTTGCAGTAAACAAAAGCCTGTGTTTTTGTCGTGGACGTTGCGAAATATGGCGCTTTTCGTGTCCTAAAACGAGGCATTAAAGGGAAGCATGATTATCGCGCGGGCATGGTAACGAGTTAAAAATAGGATCAATGATTCTAAAAATAGCACCAAAGAGTGCACATGATGGGGCACTGGGATTCCTTCTCTTAGTTCATTTTCTCTTGGTACTACCGAAATAAATCTTTATTGAAGTTTTTAAAAAATTTTTTTAGCAAATCAGAGGGATTCAAAAATAAATGAAGCATATACTTCCTTTTGTGTGAGGAAAAAGTGCTTATGCTATCAAATATTAACATATATCATATACAAAAAACGAATAGCGCAGCATGCCTTAAAAATACATAATTTATCAATTTTATACTGTCATGGAAATTAATAATGACGATCATGTCCGACTAATGTTATTCACAGATTGTGTTCGAAGCAATCAGAGGGAGTGGTTTCAAGGGAGACATTGCCATCGATGACATATCTACTTCTGTGCATCCCTGCCCTTCACTACCTTTTACCACCGTTCCGCCTATCACCTCTAGTACTCCGTCGACTGGAGGTTTGTATGCGCTCACTTTATGTCGTTTGGCAGCGCTTTGCTAAAGTATTTCGATCTTTTCCATAATACAGTAGTTTTTTATTTCCCCCTCAGTACAACAGGTGAAAGTGCGCCTTGTTAATGGACCATCCAAGTATGAAGGAAGAGTCGAGGTTCTGTATAACGGACGATGGGGCACCATTTGCGATGACCTATGGGATTTATCTGACGCTAAAGTTGTGTGTAGAATGCTCGGCTTTCCGGGAGCACTTACTGCAGATAAATCATTAAGCTATGGTTCTGGTGCTGGCACAATATGGCTGGATGATGTGAAATGCACAGGATTCGAGTTATCTATTTCTGCATGTCGGCATGCCGGTTGGGGAAAGAATAACTGCGGACACAATGAGGATGCAGGCGTTATTTGCCAAACAGGTAAAAAGAGTTGAACAGTTGATTACTAACAAACGCTTGTCTTTGATTGGCCATTGATTCTTGTTACATACAGTGATGACCACCCTTACCCTCAACTATCTAGTATAATTATGTATTGATAAGTAGCATTAATGTTAGCAGATAATTCGATGCCAATAAATGGAGAATGTAACTTTGAATATGGAAAATGTGGCTACACAAATGGAGACAGCAGTGAAAGTGAATTTGACTGGACACGAAAAAGAGGTGCTACATCTTCCTCTGGTACAGGACCTTCTGCTGATGTTAGTGGATCAGGTATGAACTGACATGATTATATCATATAGATTATTAAAGAGCATTTAGCTAATTAGTTTTTTGGTGTTTTCTAGGCTACTACATGTACATTGAAGTGTCTTCAGGAGTCACAGGGGCAAGAGCAAAGTTATTAAGTCCTATGCTACCAGCAAGCTCCAAATGTGTCTCATTTTATTACCATATGTTTGGTAGTGATATTGGAACACTCAACGTGTACGTACAACGCAATGACTCTCGTAGTATAGTCAAAGTCTGGACATTAAGTAAACAGCAAGGAGATGAATGGCTTCAAGGACAAGCACCTTTGAATGTTACAGGAAATGAGACAGTTAAGGTCAGTTTAAAGTTTCAGTTAGAATTATATCAGTATTCGCCTTGAAGAAACACCTTTACATCTTTCTAAATATCTATAATATTCTGTGTTATCACTAGCTGTGACTAGCTGTATGCTGAATACTTTCGTTCTTATTATTCGTTTTTCTTTACAGGTTATATTCGAAGGTGTTCGAGGGAAGGAATTCAAGGGTGATATTGCCATAGACTCTATTACCGTGTTAAATACAACATGTGCTGTTGTGCCCTCAAAAGCAAATCCTAGCGGCCAGGATGTCCAAAATGGTAAGCGAGCTACACGATTTTATTAGCAAATGTTTTACTTAATCAAGCTCATGCGCCTAGCCTTCGTCTATTTCAGAAAAAATATTATAATGGCAAGAAATTCAACTAAATTTGACTGAACAGTTCTAACTTAATATTTTAAAATAATAACCAAATCCCGCATTGCTTTGCCATTCGAGACCGTGTGTATTCCCTTTTGGAGAAAATACATATATTTAATATGGTATAGTAGAAATAAATTATGCGTTCGGTGTGTGTAATGAAATAGAGAGAATAAGAGACGTGGGTTCGATTCCCGTCAAGAGCATTTGATATTTGTCTGTTATTCTCTATATTTGATATGGATGAGCATGTTCTAAAGGAAGTTGGACGAGCGGATAAATGCATGCAGTGGAAGAAAAGTGATTGTGTATCAATACTCTTCTCCAAATTTCGGCCCCCTTGCAGAGTCTTCAATTCAGCCCTTGCTATACATGCATTGACTGGTATTTAATTTGTCAGCACTTGAAGGAGACGTGCGTTTGGTTGGTTCTCCCAATCCATTGGAGGGACGTGTAGAGATTTTTCACAATGGACAATGGGGTACTATTTGTAACGACTATTGGGGATATTCTGATGCACTAGTTGTGTGTCGAATGCTGGGTTTCTCTGGTGGAAACAGCGCTACCGCCTCAGGAAAATATGGCTATGGCTCGGGAATTATATGGCTTGATGACGTCAGATGTACTGGACGTGAAACGTCTCTTCTCCAGTGCACAAAAAGAATGTGGGGACGACACAATTGCCGTCACTCACAAGATGCTGCAGTAGTCTGCACTAACGGTAAAAATACCAACATTTTCATTTATTCACCTATGCTAAAGTTTTAATAGTGATCTTCGTGTCATAAGGTACGTCTGATGATGAATGCCGAACTTACAAAGTTTTGAGTACAAGTGATCGTGCTATGAGCTCCTCGAGTACTTCGGGTCGTTGTGATAGAAGAAGTGGTATATTCCCTGGTCTATGGCATCGTTTTCAAGGACCAGCAGGAACAGAAATGGCATCTTCATGTGTTCCTATCAATAGATGTGGTTCACATGCAACAGGATGGCTATCTGGAGGTAAGCAATTTAGATGTTACGACATGATGATGATGATGATGATGATACTAATCATTCAAATCGATTAACAGGTCACCCGACTGTTAATGAAGGAATGGTAAGAAGAAGGGTTTGTTTTCACTGGAGTAGTAACTGCTGTAAGTGGTCGACTTTCATCCGGGTCATAAACTGTTCAGGTTTTTACGTCTACGAGCTTCAAAGGCCACCTGTCTGTCAGCTCCGATATTGTGGTAACGGACAAGGTCAAGGTCAGTTTACGATGACATTTTGGTAACAAACTAAAACTGTATGTATGCTATATTCGCTATTTATTAAATAGAGGATATTACATGGGCGCGCGGAGATACGAAATTTATCTTCGAGTGTTGAAAAGATCTCTCACGAGTGAGCGCGAGAAGATAAATTTCGTATCTCTAATCGCCCATGTAATATTCTGTTTATTATATATTTATCCATAAAATCAACTTAATAAGCTTTTTATTATTATAACTAACTAACTAACTAATAGCTTAAATAAGGTAACGATATAAAATAACATGTTATTTTCACATGTGAAAATATCAGTTTTTCGAAAAGGAGAAATATAGGTATTTTATGGATAATTATATGATAATTTATATCTCAATTCTCTTATCAGGTGGAACATCTACTCCTGGGCCGATGACGACAGCAGGTATGAATCYTCACAAATACACACACCTTTTTGTGTTTAAATGATGATTATGTACACTGCATATCACTTATAAATCTTAAATTCCTTTTAGTTCCCAATGCTTTGTCTGGGATTCGCTTGGTTGGCAGCTCAAAGAATTATGCTGGCCGAGTAGAGTTGCGTTATAATGGTGTCTGGGGTACCGTGTGTGACGATCAATGGGGTTTAGAGGATGCAACGGTTGTTTGCAGGATGTTAGGATTTACAGGTTCGTGTTCATGAATGGATACTTTTTTCATACTATCGATTAATTCAGTATAAAAATGCTATCACTTTGTTTTTGAATCGTTCTGAGTGGTTTATTCACAAGATTAATGTTTAGGAATTTCAACGTTTTTTATCGATAATTACCAAACACAGGCGCACTGAGAGCACACAATGGCGGAACATTTGGTAGAGGTATCGGGAAAATTTGGCTAGACAATGTTCGATGTACCGGGGATGAGGAGAGTATTAGCCAGTGTACGCATCGCGGCTGGTCTCTTCACAACTGCGGACATAGTGAAGATGCAGGAGTTACTTGTGCTTCTCATGAGAGTAAGTAAGCGGACTGACATGCACACTAATGCTTTATCATGGCCTACTTATACCACAGAGCAGGTGCCACTATTCCAATCTCACATGTTGTTTTGCTGGTTTCAGTAAGTTCTTGTGATTTTGAAAGCGATTTCTGTGGATACGAAGACTCTTTTAGCGAACGATTGCATTGGGTGCGCAGAAAGGCTGTTAAACCCGAGAAAGATCACACCCGTGGATCAAGTAAGTTGATATAACTGTAAGGCGAAAACTGCCTCAGCCCACGAAAAAAGAAAATTATTCATTTTGGTTTTCTTTGTAGATGGAGAATTTGCCTGCCAAAACAATAGGTTAAGCTATCAAACAAACTGTTATCTGTTTGTGAACAAAGCGGGAAGGATTAGCTGGCATAACGCGAAGAAAAGGTGCAATGTAGAAGACGCTTCGCTTGTTGACATCCGAGATATGAATGAATGGCAGTTTGTCAAGAGCCACAGACAGTCTAACGTTGAGCAATATTATGTCGGTATACACGAGGTGAACCAAAGTAAAGTGTGGAGATTCCTAGATGGAACGATAATGAATCTTACCAATATATGGGCACCAGGTGAACCAAATGATTGGAATGGTAACAGAGAAGACTGCGGAGCAATGGACTTCAGATTTTCAGACGGAAAATACAACGATGTTCCATGCAATGGTGCGGGAACAATTGATTCATACATATGTAAAAACAAGCCATCAAGGATCCTAGGTTTGTAAAGCAACAGATTATGCAAGTATAGGGAATTTGGCTTCTTCAATTGGGCCTCGCTCTCTCACGGTTCTCAAATTATTTCTTATCTTCCTTGATTTGAACAGGTCATTTCTTGAACGTCAACTTCTCAGATCCAAGAACAGGTTATCGAGCGCGTCTGGTTGGTCCTGTTGTATCAAATTTGTCCTGCTTAACATTTTTTTACAATAGTTTTGGTACATCGCTTGATTCGTTGAGTGTTATACTCAAGTTATCTTCGGCAGAAGAGATCATCGTATGGCAGTTAGATGGCAACATTGGGAAGCAATGGAACAAGGGCCAACTACCCCTACATACTATGGCCGATATGAAATTTAAGGTTAGTAATAATCATGTACAGGGTAAACCGAGATAAACCCCGAATTTTAAACGTTTTTACGCAGAAAGAAAGGAACAGGTTATAGGTTTAAAACTAACCTCCTCCCCTTTGGTTTACAACCATGTTATGGATGGAGTGCCTAACTGAGTTCTTGTGATTCATCTGTTTAGCTAATCTTTCAAGCCACTAACGGAGGATCTGGCCAAATAGCTATTGATGACATCAATGTGACAATAAGCAGTTCACGAGAGTCTTGTGGCTTCATTCCACAGAATGCAGTTCCTCGTGATTGGCGTAAGGAAGAATTTGCTATTAATTATTCAATACTTTTACACTCTAACCAATAAATCAAGATAGTTCTTCGTATCAAACATTGGGGTTGACATTTCAAAATAAAAGATTCCATGTATGGTCACAACCCATCAATGACACACAAACATGAATCTGCGCGGGAGGTTAGAAATTCAATATAAACGTCTTGAACTAGAAATTGGAATATCACGGTTCGCTTAATCCGAACTTTTAGGAAAAACCTCGTAAAAGAAGTTACGGGGGGGGGGGGGGGGGGGGGGGTGAGAGAAAGGACTTATGTTGGCTTGTGAGGAACGTTACTGAAAGCAAAAGTTTAAGTTCAAGTAAAGAAGAATATGATATTTCTGGTGTTGCGAAATAAGCTGGAAAAACGTTTTTAGTGATAAATAGCTTACATGAAGTAGAATGACGCCAAAGTTTGTTCATATCATCGAGTACCACCAAAATGACTCTGATATTGCTGTTGCCACATCAGTATATAATCTTGGTGCCACTCTTAATCATCACTTACAAATGACAAATCATATTAACATTCTATGCAAGTCAGCATCATTTTCACTCAAACGCATTGGTCAAATTCGAAGATATTTAGACGACCGTAGAGCCGAACGACTTGTACATGCTTTTGTTACATCGAAGATAGACCAAAGCAACAGTCTGCTTTACGGTTTGTTTGACACTGGCCTGCGTAGCTGCCCAAAGGGAAGGGGATTGGGGACTGGGGAAGGAGAGGAAAGGGAACTGGGGAGAGGAAGGGAGGAAAGGTAGGGCCTGCAATAAACCCCCTCGATTTTTCCTACGAACGTTCAGGATCCGAACGTTAATTTTGATTGGTTGATAAGTTCGATACGCCAATCAGATGTCAGTGGAGTTGATTTAGATATTTTATTCTTTGATTTGATTGGTTGAGAGTTTGCATATTAATTAGGGGGCAGTAGGAAAAGGAGGTAAGTATAAGGAGGTAAGTATGAGGAGGTAAGTATGCAAGTCCTACCTTTCCTCCCTTCCGTTTGGGCCGCTACGCAGGCTATCTGACAATGAAATATCTAGACTGCTGTTGCACGACTTGTCACCAAAACGAATAAACATGAGCATGTATGTCCAATTTCTTTTATGCTTTGTAAAGCGTGTTGAGATTAGTGGAACAGGCTATATTAAGAATTTATTATTATTATTATTATTATTAATATTATTATTAATGTTATTATTATTATGACCTAATCGTAAGTGGTATCATTTTGTTGATACAGGAACAAAAGGCAGCTGTAACTTTGACAACGATACGTGTGGATATACAAACGATGAATCAGGAAATGATGACTTGCAGTGGATCAGGGACAAAGCTCGTGCTTATGCATCGAATAACAAACCTTTCAGAGACCATACCACTCATTCAGGTACCTTATACACCTGTACTGACTGCATATAGTTATACCTCCTTATCAAGGCCGAACGTAATCATGTTGTCTCACGTTTCTAATAGGTTCGTTCATGTACATTCAACATCCCATCGGTCAAATGATCGGGCACTCTGCTCGTCTAGTCAGTCCATCCTTGTCCCCAAACCTAGCCAAGTGCATGGTATTTTACTGGTATACAAGGCATCAGTTTACTTCCAATATTGAGTTAACAGTCTATGTCCGTCCTGCTAAGCCGCAGGTATCATATTTTGACGAGAATCCTGTGTGGAGAATGAAAAATGATGGCTCTCAAGTTTTTGGCTATTGGAAAAAAGCTGTCGTACCTCTTGTTGAATATTCCAATTTTCAGGTTAGTTTTTGCATTAATTATAGCAATGGCTCATTGATTATGATAAGATGCTTGGTCAGTACCAAGTAATTTGTTTGTTTACTCCAGGTGATATTTGAAGGTGTCTTCCTCGAAACAAGTGACATTGTAGCGATTGACGATGTGACTATATCAAACAAGAAATGTACCATTTTACCGTCTGATGCTCGTCCAACGATAGATAAAACATCTAATTCAGGTTAGTATAACCCTGTTGCCATGGATTTCCACTTGTATAGACTCAGCCTGACCATCTGTACCATCACCTCATAGGAATCCGGCTAAAAGGATCATTGTCAGAAGGCGTAGGGAGAGTAGAGATATACCATCTTGGACGCTGGGGGACTGTGTGTGGTGATACTTGGACTCTAAGTAACGCACACGTTGTTTGTCGCCAACTTGGGTTCGATGGAGCACGAACTCCACTTTGTTGTGGATTATTTGGTAAAGGGTCAGGAAGAGTTTGGTTGAGTGGTGTACGTTGTGAAGGCAGTGAATCTTCCCTCGCACTTTGTCCCAATCCTGGATGGGGTAACAATCATTGTGGACACGAAAACGACGCTGGAGTAGTGTGCAAAACGTCTAAGGCATTGGAAAAGGGTAACGACCAGCTTATAAACATTCTTACTTCAACTGATTTAGTAAAAAAAAACACTTTCATATCTGTTTCAAGATAACGATTTTGATGATAATGATAATCAATAGTCAGTAATCAATAATAATATAAAATCTTATTCAAAAATACTTTCAAATAACAACAACAACAATAATAATAATAAAATAAAAAAAAGATTATGAATATAAAATAACAAATATATGTACAAATTACTTATTTATCGATGAAAACATATTTGTAAAATAAATTAATAGCTCAAAACACGAGTCCAGCTCTTCACACTGATATAATACTATATCAAACTATACATTTATTATTAAATTCTAAATTCTAAATAATTCTAAATTTCGGCTACATTGGCGTTAGGTTAAAGTCATTCAAGAATTCATTAACCTTATAAAAAGGGGTTCTTGTCCCCCTGACACGCATGTGTACTGAATTACTGTATAATTAATTAATCAATCAATAATAATAATAATAATAATAATAATAATAATAATAATAATAATACACTTTACTTCAAGAGGGTTAATTATATAATGATTATAAATGCATGGTTTGCGGAAGAAATTAGGATTTACCATTTTTGTGTGTGTTATAGAAATAGAAGTACGTTTGAATGGATCGTCCAGTTCCTATGAAGGTCGCGTAGAAGTGAAATATGCTGGTATCTGGGGAACCATAGACGACAGCGGCTGGGATATCTTTGATGCAACTGTCGTTTGCCGTCAATTAGGATTTGCAGGAGCCGTTAGCGCCTTCACCGGAGGTAGATTTGGTCGTGGGAAAGGACCAGTTTGGTTTTCTGAAGCTCACTGTAACGGCGATGAAAACAAAATCTCAGGGTGCATCGAATTTAACAACACAAAATCTTCTATTTCAAACCACAATGCAGGGGTAGCATGTTTTAGTAAGTAAAGCTTGAAAAGTACTCGTTTCATAGTTTGCTATTACGTATCACTATGTCACAGACTGTTCGATGTTTTTACATTCAGACCACGTGGTCATTCCCAAGAGTCAATTTCTTTGTTTAACGGTTGCACATAAGAAGATGTGGATACAACTCGAATGAAGAATATTATCATCTCAAAGGAATGACAAGTGGTCTGAAATGGGAAAACATTGCACCACAACGGATTAATGTTATTAACGAGCGAATAACAGCTTGAAATTAATGATCAGTCAATGAAAATATTAATGGTCGTTCACCGTAACGTCACGATCACGTGACGGCACGGCACGTTTGTAGACGTTCGTACCGTACATTTGTCAAAGATACGAAACGCTACTTTTATACAAATCAGTATTTTATTGTTTTTCAATGTTTTTGCACTTGGAAGGGAACACGATAATAAACCCTTTAGAAGACACATTATAAATATCAAGTTATTTTTGTGCGACATAAATACTTTTATAACTCATTTTTAACCTAATATTTCCCAACTTTTTTATAAGGTGCTCGCCTTGCAGATGGTAAAACGCCACATGAAGGCCGAGTAGAGATTCAGTACAACGGCAAATGGTCAACAGTCTGCGGCAAAAACTGGAATATCAATTCTGCAAACGTTATTTGTCGCGACCTTGGTTACGAAGGGGCAATTTCTACGTCAGTTGTTGGTAAAGGAAGTGGACAAGTCTTACTTGAAGATGTAAAGTGTATAGGAGACGAAGTATCCATCATGCTTTGCTCCCACAAAGGACTACATTACCACAGTTGTGATCATTCACAAGATGTAGGCGTAGTATGTTCTAATGGTTAGTGTCTGACTGCTACCTTATATTAATCAAAGGGAACAAAT